TTTTGTTGTTTGAGGGTTTTAATGTTGATGTGGTTAAGTGGTTGGTAACAACTATAAGAAGAAGAACATTGAACATGTGAGCTTTTTTTACTGAGAAACAAAACCCCATTTCATCTCTCCTGATGTTTCCCTCAGCATAATGGCTTTGCTTATTGCTCTCTGACAATACAGCTAAGATTTTAACATATTTTTGTATTTGTATATTTTGTCAGGTCTTTGCTTTTGCCCTCTGCCCCTCTTTCTTATCAGCATAAAGCTGAAAACTATCACTGTTCTTCCTAATTGGATTCCTTCCCACCCTCCAATCTATTTACGTTTTTTTTTCCTTTTAAAGAAATTTGAATTTCAAATTTTCAATAATAGCAGCTAGATTAAAGAAAATACTAAAGTTAGCCTACTTTTATCTGTTTAATTAGCATTAATGGTATATAGTTTAATATATGCAATCTAAACAAAATATTATGTTTAATGGTAGGGTTGTCAACGAACATGGACTAAAATTGGAAAATATCCAAAGTAAACAACATGTTTCTTGATATGAGATTTTAGGTCAAATCAAAAGCAAAATACATAAACTTGGATTTGGATGTAAATTAAGTTGGGATTATCATGTAATTATGAAAATATGGAAGGTATTTTGTCTTTAATGTATAATTATAGTGTATATTGTTGATATTCTTAATTAACGGGATTCAATGAAACCTACAAAAYGGAGATAATGTATATTGTGTAGGACTAATCATACCTACTCTAATACTTAAAAGTTAAATTTTAGGTTTATGTCAAGGGTAACTACAGGTTTAACCTTAGGTTTTTCTCCATATCTTGTGTTTTTGAATTACTAAAATTGAAGGGACCCAAGTTGTAGGGCCTGATCAATCTTCAAGAGAATCGAGAGAATAGGGGCCAGCCCGGGAAGCTTTGTCTCATGGACCTCACGGACTGAGGCCTAAGAAAGCACGACCTTTAGGCAATTTGGCCCATGGGGGCATGCATCCCCTCGAGGTCTTACCCTCTTGATCTGTGCCTAGAGTAGGAAGGATAATTGTTAACTTTTTTTTAGTACAACATATTGGAGAGGAGATTCAAACTCATAACCTYTGAGTCATAACTTGATTTCAAATAATTTCATGATAGTATATTATCACCCAAAAGATGTATAATTGTACCATTTAAAATTATGATTTTCTTCTTTTAAGATTAAACAAATTTAAAGTCACATTTCATGATTATCACCTAAAGGCTAAAGATATTGAAATGTAAATTGCACCATTTAAAATTGAGATTTTTTCTTCAAGGTTAAACAAAGAGACGAAGGTTGGAATGTACAATCTTTCAAATCATGAATTGCAATATATTAGCCAAAAGGCTTTATTAGGATTTATATTTATATCATAAGGGGATCAAAAGTTTGTGTGTGTGTTTTTTGGTGGAAGGACAAAAATAATTGAGGCCTAGGTAAGAATTTGAAGCCCATTGTGGATGTTGAATTGTCAAGAGGAAAGAGTCCAAAGTAAACACAATATCTATATCTTATGATTTTCAATTTCCATTTTGCATATAGCATTACCCTAATGAACAATTCAATCTTAAATATTTTGGATACTCCTTTAATGGCAGCTGGTTTATCAAAGCAGCCGTTGATGTTTACTTTTATTTCTCTTTAGGTTGGGAGAGGGGCATGTTTAGTTTAAGTCAGAGAGTTGCCCCTTTCGTCCACAATCAAAAAAATTTAGTGATAACAAAGTAGCTCTAATAACAACAAAAATCACGCCAATCTAAAAATATCTTACGAAATAAAAGCATCTATTGTCACGTGAATAGTTCGATCTCCCACTCCATGAACTAAAATAAGGAAAAACAAACAAATCACCCGAGCTTTGCTTCTATAGCATAAGATTATATAAGAAATTATTGAGTTTTGAAGGTGACATTGTTGATGGTCCTTTCATTATTGTTGAAGTAAAAGGGTAACAGATTGAGACCCAAACTGATAAATATTTACGAGAACAAGCATGGCAGAGTGATTGAAGGCAATTACAGAGAGCCAGTAGAATACAATAATCAATACTATTTACTTTTCAATCAACAAAATTACAGATGCCACCTACAAAAGTTCAAATAATTTCCACACTCTGCTCTGTTTTCATCATTCCATACCCAGAAGAAATCAAATATGAATGAGGTCTATTAAGGCAAGGCAACAATACTAGAGAGACTCCCTCTAGGCTATAAGAGAATTATGAAAAGAAATACGGCAAGTTTTCCACCATCTGTATTTTTCTACAGTAGTTGTTTGTATAACATCAAAATCTTGGCTTACTTCAAATCACGACCCAGCAGGAGGCAGCAAAATACTAGAGGAGAGACTCTCTATAGGCTATAAGCGAATTATGACAACAAATACGGCAAGTTTTTCACCATTTGTATTTCTACAGCAGTTGTATAACATCAAAATGTTGTCTTACTTCAATTCATGTCCCGGCAGTAGGATGGAGATCCTCCCTCGATTTTATGCAGAATGCAGACTGTTGGGCTGCAGGGCTTCTCGAAGAATTTTCACTGCACTATCATAGGATACAAAGCCCATAAACCAGAATTCATGATTGTCGATGGAGATAACCTGTATGAACTTTTCAGCGGGTCTCGCTTGGCTTGTTGACGGGTTGACTGCTTTCAGATGGTGCAGAGGGATCACCACCTATTATATAAGAGAAAATACAGGTGATTTCCAATCAATTTTTTGGTAGAACCTGAACAACCTATAGAAACTAGGTGATAGATGACACAAATATATGCAATACAAGATCAGGTAATGGTCATGGTCAAATCATAGGAAAGGATTCAACTCCAAATGAACGGTTGCATCATGACTCACAAACGGCATAATCTACTAAAAGTATAGTCCTCATGAACACAACTTGGGTGAAAATAATTCATCGTCAAATCTAAAAGAAAGCCACAGATGAGAGCAATCTTTCTCGTAGTACTCCCAGATGATTAGAAATCAAATATTTCGCATGTGAAGCAAGTAGATGAAAACAATCAATCTTTATTTGCAGTGATGAACAGAAGGCTAAAATGTTAAGATGTTGCAAAAATTCTTAAATCTAAATGCATAATCCCTTTGACTTCACAGTAGAACCAGAACAAACTTATACCGACTTAAATGACCATATGATTGAAATAATACTCTCAAACACACAAAAATTGGTTTTTGATTCCTTCACAAGTTTCGCGAAACTAGTTTTAGCTTTGAAGCGCTTAAACAGATTCAAGAGAAAATTGGGAGAACTTTACAAGATAGAGAATTTAGAATCCGAATAAATTGTAGATGAATTATGTAGAGAAATTGATGTAGTTTGCATCACAAATAGAAATTTAAATGCAGGATTACGATCCGTAGTTTCTCACCATTTTTAAAAACATTTATAGCCACATTCTTCACATCTTCTTCACTTAAATTGACATCAATTTAACCAAACATTATTGTATCACAAAAGCCAAAAATGAAGAGATTCATATAAGAATATTAAACTATAAAAGCTGGTTAAAACTGCATAGAAATAAAATAACAAATATCAACTGCTTAATCGACAGTAAACTTAACAATCCAATTTTACCTTGTAAAGACTCCAATGAGTCTCGTCACCAACGTTATAAGAAAGTGGATTGTCACTGCAAAATGCAAGTTTGGCCGTTGATATGTACAAAGTTCCTATCACTGGACCAGCCGATGTGGACAAATAGCAAGCATATGCCTTCTGAAGTTTCTCTTCAGGTGTATTCTCAAAAGTCTGTTGGAAGATCTTCTCATAACCCCCTTCTGCAAGAACTTTCGTCCCCTGAGCAATTCTTCCCACAGCAGCATCAGCAAAGCTAGGCCCCGTTTTCACTGGTTTGAAACAAGATTGTTTTAATTGTTGATATTGGTTAACAGAACAAGGAAAGAAGGAAAAATAGTGCTATTTTTCGAAAAGAACGACGAAGAATGTTTTGAAATTGTTAGTATTTGCACTCACTATCCTGCACCACTAGCCCCAAATGAATATGAGCAGAAATAGTGAACAATACCAGATAAAACATAATCCAAAATCCAAGTTCACGCAATGAGAACTCAACTCATTCAATTGAGGAGCAGGACACATAAAACAACAAATGACATAATGATACAAAAGGGAAATAGTTCTAGGAAACTGCATAATGCCATTGCCAGTATCCTGATTCCTAAACAGAGACCAATCATAGGCTTTCCAAGATCTGTTTAGATGGACATGACCTATATTCCAATTCCAACCAACTTCGGCATATAATTGCCTATGTTTTCAGATTGTTGTAATTTCTCACCTTAACCATCTAGGCATCTACAAGTCATCATTTATTATAGTTAGATTCAAAATTATTAATAGTGATGAGAAGGTATAGTTATAAAGAAATAAGGTTTTACAGTGTTGCCACATATTCCCAGCAAGATCCTCGGCCTTCTTGGTTGCCTCCACTGCCCTCTTTCCCCATCTCCCAAGCATCACCTTCATGGACTCCATCGTATCTGATCACAGATCAAACGCGCACATCGATTGAATACGAATTTTCATTTAATTTCCAAACGCTCAATAAATATTCACATCTAGGGCATTGAAAGGACTCACTCTTGGTGGAAGGACCTCCAGGGGCTGGAGCCGCAGAAACATAGGGATTGGCTTCGGTCGGTAGAGTGGTGGCATTTCCCTCATAGATCGGAGCCCGAGCGTCGTTTTTTGGCTCAGGTGCGGGTGGAGGTGGATTCGCGCCCATGGGGACGGTGGTCCAGTCCTCCGCCGGCGGCGGAGCGACGTCGCTAGGGTCAAGCTTGGGATAGGGAGAGTAGTCGTCTGAGCGACGGTTGGAAACTGGATCCGTGTGATCGGAGAGCGATGATGGTTTTGGAGGGATGGGGTTGGATGGATCGGGGTGTGGCTGAGGCTGAGGCTGAGATTGATTCATTTGAGAGTGGATGAGGATAGTCCAAAGCGATCTCCGGCTCCGGCGGAACAAACGAGAACACCTGAAACTGTTTCGAACGGGAAAAATGGGTAAATTAAATTAAATATTAAAAAAATGTTGCGATGGTGTTTTTATTTCATTCGTTGCTTCTTCTAAGTTCTAATCTTTATGCTTGATTTTCTTTATAAGATAATGTTTCTTTATATAATTAAAGAAAAATATAACAAAAGATAATGCAAAATATGCGGAATCTTTTCAACGGTTGGAATTGGAGGGGTCAAACAGTCAAAGGGTTCCGGTTTGAATTTTGAATCTTTTTCTTTTTAGTTTCCTTTTTTTTAACCCTCCAATGTGAAATTAAGAAATTTTTTAAAAAAAGAGAGAAATTTGTTTTTTCCTTTTGTGCTTAGTTAGAAGTATGCTCAATAAATCTCTAGAAACCACCCAGCTAAATAACTCGTCAAATCTTATTCAAGAAGCCTCCTTAGATATAAAAATCTCTAGAAACTACTAGGATAAGTAAGCTTGTTCAAGAAATTTCATTGAAGGATTGAAGAACCTAGAAGCTACTAGAGTGCAATATGTGACAAAATTGTGGTCACTAGATCATCACCTATCCAAAGTTAGCATGTGGCATAATTATAACTATATAATTTTGCTTGATGAGCAAGTATGGATGAGCTATAAACAGGAGGGCTCCCTTGCTTGGCAAACTATCCAAAAAAAATCTCCAATTCCAAGTGAGTTAAAGTGTGTGTGAGGCTTGATGAGATAAAAATAGAGAGAGTTTTCTTCATATGAGAGATTTTTGTTTTCCATAAGAAATTCTTATTCCTTGTCCATGATTTTTACCCTGATTCGTTTAAAGGTTTTCCACGTAAAATCACTGTGTCATTTTATTCTTCTTTTCTCTCCATTTCTTCTCAACTCCATTTTAGCTGCGTCTTACTCTATCCAATGTCAATCCTTTTTACAACATAAAGTATGTATCATGTTGATGCAAGCATCATACGTTTAATGATGTCTTAGAAGTTTGTTGTTTAAATTTCCGCTATTTCCGACGATTTATAAGATTCATTATCTTAAAGAAGTTAAATAATACTTTTTTTTTAGTCATAGATTATTTTCTTTAGTTGTCTTTTCAAGTATGCAGGGGAGTAATTTTGATAAAAGCTATTACCTTTCAATATGTATATTCATGCCAACGAATTGCTTCAAATTATTTGATAGATATAGGTTTGGTTCGAAAATTTAAGTGTTGTTTAATCTTGTTCTCCTGTTAAAGTTTGGAATTTTTTTATCAAATTTCTTCTATTTGTTGGTTCAATTTTTTTCTCACTTCATTGTGAATATGATCGTATCTCAACATCAAAGACATTTATTCATTCTGTTGAAATTGAAGGTTCAAATTTCCACTCAACTTTTTTTACAACAAAAATTTCTTTTATTCAAACGTTTGGCCCGACTTTTATAAACGCAATATCAGATTCGGTAATTCTCAATCTAAACCTCACCATTTACTATTTGCAATATTTTATATGAAAATAATATATCACTCTTATACACGTAACTTTGAAATTCATAAAGATAACAACAATACAAAATAAGTCACAATGGTCTTATATGCGGCAAGCAAACATTTGTTAACATAATTATATTTTCTAAAAAGTTATCAGTATTATCCATCAATAGCTTATACCATTTTTTTCCACATTAACTAAGAAAAAGAAAAAAAAAACATTTTCCAATATTGCAAAAGGAATTACAACGTACGGCTTATAATAAGCAATAACAAATTAAAGTAGAATTGACTAGAATGAAATTTTCAAAAAATAAGTAGAGAAATTAACAGTGTAAAGGTAGTAGAGAGGAACTGAAATCGTCACTATATCATAAAATAAAATAATTTCATATCCGATCATAAAAAATGAAGCTAACATAATTGGATTGGATTACAGTTTTTTTAGTGCTTGGAGGAGCAAAATTGCATAATTGAAAATTCAATGCAACTTCAATCGTCTATGCTTCAGTCTCAGCCAATGTCTGAGATATCCTCTCAATGAAACTCTCCATAACTTTTAAACCCTTTTCATCTGGAAAAAAAATTCATATAATCTAATTAGCTTCAGAAATGAAGAAAATTATACATTTGAGCAGAAGGGAAATTAGTGAAATAATATATTACCAAGTCTTGGAACTGTGTGGCCTTTAGGATGATTAATTACTAATGGTTCAATATAAGATTCCAGCAGCTTCAATCCATGGGGCATCAGGAAGTCTTCGTCACCTGCACCGTATAGAAATTAAAAAAAAAATAACAAAAAGAAAAATAAAGAGAAGTTAATTAATTATTCAACAATTCTTGATTAGTAGAATTTGACAACTCTTTAATTTTTTTACTTTAAAAAGATATATAATTCTTTTACATTTATCTTTCCAAATTAACAGGAGTCAAAAAAAGATGAGTGTTTGAGTTATGAAAATTTTAATATTATTTTAAATTTAAGTTCATCAACCATTTCATATATTTTAGTCAACAAATTAATTGATGGTATCTCAAATTAAATAATAATAAAATAATGCGATTCAAGATAACAATCCCAATCAAGTGTAACTAATTTGACACCAACGGAAACTTTAGATAATATCATTGATCAAAAAGTTAAATATGTGCTGTTGAACTAAAAATAATTTGACAAGAAGTTAATTTTAAGGTTAAAATAGAGACTTTAAAATTAAGTCTAATTGGTGTTTTAAATTTTTACTAAAAAAAGTCCTTGAATTTAAAAAAATATATATTAGTTTTTAAATTTTAAATTTTGTACCTAAATATCTGTGCATTTTAAAAAATTCATCAACTTATTGAGATACTTCTAAAATTTCATGAAAGCACAAAATTTAAAGTCTATGATATTTATTAGATAATTTTTAAATTAAACTTGCAATTTAACATAATTTTAATTATAATAAATTAATAATCGTAGTTTTTTAATACAATAAATGGATACTCATATATTTTTTTTGAATAAGAATTGATACTCATATTTAACTTAATCAATTACTACTAGGAAATGGGATATAATATTTTATTATTGCAGAAAATTTTCGAATCTTCTTTTGAAGAAGTGGCCTTCAATAACAAGGCAAAGAACCAGAATATTTGCAACAAAAAACAAAAAAAGAAAAAAAAAATCATGTGGATGTCCCTTCCGCCCAAAAAAAACAAAAACAAAAACAAATAAATAAAAGGGGTTAGGTACCTAGAAAATGGAGGGATGGACATCCAATGGATGGCGAGTAAGCTTTTTCCGCCAGAGATGGCGATCTGAATTTCGCACCGCTGACGATGACGACGAATTTAATCTTGGGGACTTTCGTCAACGCAATACCCTGCAACCCATAATCGAATGCATCGCCGCGTCAATCGAAATCTTAATTTCGCGTTAAATTAATTTTTTATTTTGGAGGAATTCAAACGAATTTAACAAGAACAGCAGGCGGAAGTGGCCAGGTCAATTACCTTCTCTTGAAGTCCCGGCAGCGCGGCCGATAATATCGCCCCCTGAAAATGATCGAGAAGAGCTTGAAATGTGAAATTAAACTCCAAATCGGTACTTGATTTTGCTCTGCTTGGCCATTAGGCAAAGTAGAAGAGAAAATTATGAAAATCGGAGATCGATTACCTGCGAGAAACCGAGGAATCCATCGAATGGTCCGTGCTTCAGCATGTAATCCTCAATGAATGAGAGACACTCGTCGAAATTCTGATATTCCATCATGTCCTGTCATGGAAGAAGGGAGAAAAAACATATATGAGTTTTGTGATTCTGCCAAGAAATTAATCGGAAAATTAGGAGAGAGGACAATCAATAATAATCGTACCGCACTGAATTGAAACCACTCGAAATAGGGAGGATCGAAAATTCCTTCAACATCGGATTTTCCTTCTGCGGGGAACGGAGCGTCGAGAAAATGGAGATCGAAGTTATCGAGGACAGAACTTGGCCATTTTCCGACCTGCTTCTTGAGGATTTGTCCGCTGGTTCGGAAGCCATGGAGGCAGAGAAATCTAGGTTTTCTTTGGATTTTAGCCTCGCTTCCCATAATTGAAGCTCTCTTGAAGACGATTTGAGGAGATCTTGATTCCGATTCAGGAATTGGTGTGTGGAGCTGAGCTGAGCGGAGGGGAGGGGAGAATGAACTCATTTTAAAGCCATTCTCTACGGCCCCTCCTCTCTCCCGAGAAACTTCCAAACGGACTCGTTTTAAAAATGGTTTCTATGGAAAACGAACACGCTGACGTCACACAGATATTTATTGTTATTTTATTTTATTTATTTATTTTTTTACTGTGGCATGCACTTGAGAAGGTTCTTTTCGTAATTACATGTAAATGCAATGAATTACATTCAAAAATAAATTCGGAAAAGTTCCGGCTTAGCTTTGTGGAGAAAAAGTAAAATTACAATTGCGCCATCTGGGTTAATTGTTTTTTAATGTTTAAATGCACCGCGTTTTTTTGCTGTAAAGAATGAAAATTTTCTAAATTTTCTAAATAGATGAATCATGGACGAGATGTACTAAAAAAAAAATAATAATGTACAAGATGCTAAATTTTTCTTAGTTCCACGTCTGGGGTGAGGATTGGAACTCAATTTTTTTTTATCGAAAATAGATATCTTAACCAGTTGAGTTTTATTCAAATTGACATACTAGCTATTTTATTTGGAAAGATTCTCGAAATTCGTCACATCAAACAAATTTCACAATAGTAAGAATGAACTTAACTCAATGGAAAATGACATCTATCTCTTTTGTTAGAGTTCGATGTTCAAATTTTCATATTCTATATTTGTTGTATTAAAGAAAATCAAGTAATTTTTATAAAAGCTTTTGATTATATTAACGGTTGAATTTTGAATTCAGTTGAAGCATGCATTTGACAGTATTTATAGCAATTACATTTATAGAAATACGAAGATCAGGTGAGTTGAATAGTTGTTTTTTCAAGTAAGTTCTGAGTTGAGTTGTAATTAAAGACATATTTGAGAGTGACTTTAGTTATATTTTTTTAAATCACTTGTATTTCATTGTCAAATATTAGAGTATATTTGAAAGTGACTTTGACGTTACCAAAATTATTTTTGTCACAGTAAAAATCACCTCCATTTTAAATTGTAATGTTTAATAATGATATACAATTTAGAAAAACCCCTCACAAACATAGTTTAATGTATCTATTTACCTCTATTTATAGATTCTTGATATAAATGAATGTTTGGTTCTCTTGATATAGACGGATGTTTGAGTTACATTCAAGAATTTAATGTTCTTTTTCTCTTGTGTTGCCCTCCATGTTTTTTTAGTTCAACAATTTTGGGTGAGAATTTAAACATTTGACGGTTTGATTAATGATAAATATTTTAATTAGTTGAACTATGTTTAGATTGATGTGTCCAGTCATTCTCATTAAACTAAGWGGTGAACTATTATAAATTTATCTGGACTTTCTTTGTTTTGAAGCATTTGGCTATAGGCATTATAAATGCACTAAAAAAATTAGTAATTAAACCTTTAGGTTAGCCTATTTAATCTTTTGAGAAATATGACAAGTTTCTTGGTCCAAAGCAGCAAAGCTCATAGGTTTGGCTAATTGCTATATTTTAGATAAAAATAGTATATCACTTTTGTAACAGTTGATTTTGAAATTCACATAAAAATATATTAATAGCAAAAAAGAGAGAAAAAAGAACATTTTCCACTACAAGTAAGAGGAATACAAACTGAAATGTAATATTACAAATATAGTTAGAGAAATTAACTGAATAATGGCGCAGTAGAGAGAAGATTAAAATTCTCACTAGATGTATAAAGAAACATAAACTTGGTTGCATCTTTTTATTGTCCGGAGATGCAATAATTTCAGGCTATTTAATTTATTCAGTCTCGGCCGATCATCTTTGAAATCTTCTCTATGAAACTCTCCATAATCTTCAAACTTTTTTCATCTGAAAAAAAAATAATCATATAATATAAATTGGTATCAGGAATTGTATAAATATAAGCAGAAGTGAAACTATATATTTACCAAGTCTCGGTACTGTGTGGCCTTTAGGATGATTAATTACTAATGGGTCAACAAATGATTCCAGCAGCTCCAGTCCAGCTGGCATCAAGAAGTCTTCCTCACCTGCCACGTGCCACCACAATAACCTCTTCTCATTTATTTGGAAGGCAACCATGGATTTTTAATTCATGTATTTTAGAACTTTCAAATTAATTATTTATTATTCAAACTTTAAATTAAAGTCATTAAATATTTAATATAAATTAGTTGACGGTATTTCTTAAATTAAATAATAATGAAGAATGAAAAAAGTATAATAATTACAATTAAGTGCAGAGGAAGAAAATTTTTTGGTCCTTAATTTTATTGAAGTAGTTTATGAACAATTTAGTCATTGTATTTTCAAATTAATAACAATTTAGTTATTGAACTTTAATATGTAATGATTGTCCCAATAATTAAAATTTGTAACGAAATTAAATCGTTATATGATAAAAATCGATGCTTAATTTTGATAAGATTTTTTACGGTAGGAACTAAATATTTGAATTTTTTTTTACATACTAAAATTCAAATGGACTAAATGCATTTTTTGACTTTTATTATTATTGAGAAAGTAACTATTAATTAATCAGAACAAACTAGTAAACAATTAAATAGAATAAAAAGTAGGTAACTAAGTATAATAATCACAATTAAGTGTAATTACCTAATTTGAAAACCATTAAATTAATTATTAAAATTAAAAGCTACCCATTGACTTTTAAAGGTAACTTTAATTAATTAGTATAAACTAATTAATAAACAATCAAATACGATATTAAATATAAAATTATAGATTAACAGCAAAATTTGAAGATATGACAGAACAGGGGAAACAATTGGAATATTTGAAAATGCATTGTGCATGTCTTCAAACTAAAAAGAAAAAAAAAAAGAGAAAATAGAAGAAGAGTTGTATTGAAAATTGAAATGCAAAATAGGATACCTAGAAAATGGAGGGAGGGGCACGTAAACGAGGGCGAGTAAGCTTTCTCGGCCAGCAATGGCGATAGGAACTTCGCACCGCTGACGATGATGACGAATTTAATCTTTGGGACTTTCGTGAGCGCCACACCCTGTAAAACCAAATCTAAATTTCGCATTAAACTTTATTTTACAGAATTCAAACGATTTCCAATCAACAGCAGCAGGGCTACGGTTTAATTTTACCTTCTCTTGAAGTCCTGGCAGCGCTGCCGATAATACCGCGCCCTAAAAATGTCCGCAAAGAACTTCAAATAACTACAAATTTATACCTACTGCAGCAAAAAGAAGAGAGAAAATTATGAGGACTATTACCTGTGAGAAACCGAGGAGTCCATCAAATGGTCCATTCTTAAGCATGTAATCCTCGATGAACGAGAGACACTCGTCGAAATTAATATACTCTGTCATGTCCTGGCGTAGAAGAATGGAGAAAATCTATACATATGAGTTGTGATTTTGCAGAGAAATTGATAAGAAACAGAGAGGTTAATTACCGCACTGAATTGAAACCACTCGAAAAAGGGAGGATCGAAAATTCCTTCGACTTCGGATCTTCCTGCGGAAGGGAAGGGGCCGTCGGGGAAATGGAGATCCAATAGATCGAGGACGGAGCTCGGCCATTTTCCGACCTGCTTCTTGAGGATTTCTCCACTGGTTCGGAAGCCATGAAGGCACAGAAATTTAGGTTTTCGTTGAATTTCGCCTTCGCTTCCCATGGCCGAAATTCTCTTTATTGCCTGTGTCCAGCTGAGAAGGGGGAGGAGGAATCAACTCATTTTAAAGGCATTTTCTACTCCCCTTTTCTCCGGGAAACTTTCCAACTTATTATTATTATTTTGAAAATAAACTTTCCAACTTAATTACTCCTTTTAAAATTTATAAATTGCACATTAACCCTTTCAATTATAGTAGTTACTGTAATTGTACCAATAGAAATCTTTATTTACAACTAGTAAATTCTCGGACTAGTAAAAAATTTCTCTCATCAGTCTTACGTGAGTATACTTCAATTAATCAAATCATTATAACTAAAATGGAAAATTCAAATCCTTACTATTTTACTATTTTTTTGGTTTAAAAAAAACCACCCATGAACATTTTTGACACACATGTGGCATCTTTAAATGAAACAAAATTTAAAAATAATTGGAAAATAAAGAGTTAGTTGTAGCTTGTAGTTTGTGAGATGAAATAGGTAGAGAGACAATAAAGGGTACCGAGTACGGATACCTAATCTAAAGTTAACTTTTTTCTTTTTAGTACATCTCATCATCACTATAAATTTGACAATGGTTTATTTTTTTGAAAAATAGAAAAGTATCTATTTTTCTACAATTTCTTCCTACTTATAAACGTTTTAATATTGATCCACAAAAAAATTGGTGTTGATCTATTAATATCTAAATATTATTTATTCTTTTTTTTCCTCATGAGTAACTTGGTGTTTAGTTCATCTTCTATGATACGTGGAAGCCTTATTTATCGAACCATTAACTAACTTACCAATATAGTCTAATTATTTGAGGGTTTGATTTTTTAAATCTAAAATATGTTGTATGATGGTGGTGTAGTTTACCCTTTTTGAAAATAGTTCCAATAGGATAGTAACACGGTGGTGTAAGGTATTCTTCCATGAGGATAGAATATTTTCTTTTAAACAATATGTTAGGATTTCAATCAACTTTTTTGGAAAGGTGTTTGACTAGTTTAACTGCAAGTTTTATCCACAAAAGAAATTAAAAAAATTATTGAATAAGATAATGAATTAGGGTATCGAATCAGATAATGCAACTGTTGTGCATACGCTTTGAAAAATTATTGAATGAGACCGTCCTAATTATTCATTAGATGTAACTTTGAAAATCTACATGATGCCTAATAACTACCAATACAAATTTTAAGTACTTTTGTGGCGGTTTATCTCTCATATATCTAATAGTGTATTGTCCGTCATATTGTGGTGATCTGATCTCTTTTAATAATTTCTCCAAGGCTGGGTAAGTCCATATCGACTTACATGGATTTGTGTGGTGTCAAAAGTTTTTGTTGCACATATATATATATATATATATTTAGTATAAAAAGAAATAGATAAACATTCATTTTTAATTGTTACCATTCCCATTTTTTTTTCTCATTTTCAAAGGAAAAAGAAAGTTAAAATAAATAGAATATTAAATGATAGAAATTTCTTTCCTTTAAACGTTCACATGAAGTTGTCGTGGAATTAGTACTTGTAACTAATTTAATTAATTAAATTCGAGGGAAAAAACTAATTTAAATAATTGATCGTATTTTTTAAAATTATAGATATGTAAGAGTACTCAAAAGTATTCGGAATGGAAATAATTTTTTAATGTTTTTTAGTCCAAAAGTATTTTAAAAAAATATTTTTTAAATATAACATGTTGGATTAGAGATTCGAACTTATGCTTTTGTATTGAAAAATATATTTTAACGGTTGACTCATCCTCAGGTCTTGTAGGATCCAATTATTATATTGGAAGAGAAATTCCTTGTCAAACAACTCGCAATATTGCATTTCCGTAAAATAAAATAAAAACTCATAATATTGAACATTGGCAGCATAAACTCGTAATAAATAATTAATACGATATTTTCAAATAAGATAAAATAAATAAATAAAAAAAAAAATATATATATATATATATATATATAGATATATATATATATATATATATATATGAAATGTAATTACGGAATAATTTGTTTGATTCTATTTATGAATAATATATTAAAAATATATTAATAAGAAATTACTGAATTCGAATATCTAATCTCTGATAGAAAATTTATATATTCTTTTACCAGTCATACTAGGTTCTGATTAACAATAATATTAATAAATTTAGTTTAACTTAAGATGTGTTTGAGGGTGAATTTAACATGGCCAAAATCATTTTTATCATTGTCAAAATCTTTATTTTTTCATTGATGATGTTTGACAAATTATAAATTGATTTTATGAAAACTTAAAATCACTTTAAATTTATTTTTAAGATATCACTTAAATGATGATTTTGAAAAATTAACCGAACTCTAATCTCTTTTTTCACTTCCAAACAGACCGCAGTTGACTAATTTCATAAAAACTTTAATTGAATTTTATATTATGCATGAATAGAAGAGACTTTTTTTGGAAAAAAAAAGATTAAATTGAGTGAAATTGACAGTGACACCTATGATTAAATTGAAAATTTGAGTACAGATTTGGAGAGTGACGGAATGACAATGACTTGGACATTGGAAGTAGAAAAAAAAAATGATAATAAAATAAAATTTTTGAGTGAAATTGAAATTAAAGTAAATCTATTGATCTCATAAAGTCAAACTTTTGTTAAGTTTTTTTTTTCTTTCTTTTTTGTTTCATTTTATTTTTTTTGTCGATTTCAACTTTTGTTAAGCGTTAACACCATAGTTAGGCAAAGAGAGAGAGATTAATATTGTTATTCTCAATAATTATTGATAAGTATCCCTGACTGTTGGTAATATATTAGAAACCTATATGCTTTAAATAGTATTAAACATCCACACCAAATAGTTCTATTAATAGGAAAAATTGAGTTAGCAGTTAGCACTTATTCTAAATTAATTAATTAATTTAACATAATCTAATTATTTAGCATATAGGTTGATTTAGTTTATGTTGTTTAGACTGTTCATGCTATTAAAAAGGTACATGTTTACGTTTTTCATTTCTTATTTTTAAAAAATATTTTCAAAGCCGTATAAAAGTTTTAGAAACAACAAAATTAAGTTTTTATTTTTATTTTTCAATAAAAATAGAAATGTGATTAGTATATAATCTATGTTATAGAAGGGAGAACTTGAAAGGATGAGACATAATCTATTGTCGTAGGAGTTAGTTTGAAAGGATGAGAGATCGTCACAATGATATTATCAATCAAGTCAAGGAGAGCTTAGAAGAATAATAGATCCGGTTAAGAATAAAATTTAAATGACAGAGATATAAAATCAAATATAGGAAATCTCTTAAATGTAAAAATGTGGGTGATTTAAGGGTAAAGTTGGAAACCATCCATTTTTTAAATCTCCTAAAAATTAGTTTTACAAATATGATTGTATTTACCATTTATTAAAACAGGTCTCCCAATTTAAATCTCCTAATTTTTTTTGTTGACATAAAATCTCCTAAAAATTAGTTTAACTATTGTGCAACATATGATAGGTTGATTTAAGGGCAGAGTTGGAAACCATCAATTTTTTAAATCTCTCCCAATGCACGCAGCGTTTCATACGAGGCCCATTGGGGCATCGCCATGCTACGACTAGGGCCCCTTTGAAAGCCCGGAGGATCGGACCCCTGTTCAAAACGAGCTCTGTCTCTACGCAACCGTATAAAGTCGCCGACTTTCCGACCGAAACTGCAGGCTGCTGCAGCCACGCATCGGGAGAAAAAGATGGCTCGCCCTATGTCCGGCGTCGGCCCCGCTAAAACCCCCGCCGTCAAGCTCCCTATTGCCGTTTCCTCTCTCTCTTCAGCCTCCTTCTGCGGAGGCAGGACGAGGCTGAGGATGCTCTCCGCCGCCTCTTCTTCCTCTCCGGCGAAGGCGAGCCTGACCCACCGTAATGTGTCCTTGGATGCTTTGATCAAAGGGGATCGCAGGGAAGAGGTCTTCAGCGCCATTGACGAGTCTTTGACCAATTGTCTCTCTGAGACGAATCTCCACTTGACCGTTCCTGGGATTAAGTCCAAAACCAGGGGCAAGGTGATCTTTAGCTGAATCAAAATAAGGTTCCCTTTTTCTTTTGTTTGAGTGGGTGATATCTGTTTCATTTTTTATTGCTGGAAAAGAACTGATTAATCAAAAAATCCTAAAGGGCGAGATGGAAGGATGGTGGAGTGGAAGATAGAAGAACACTTTGTCTTTCTCTCTTTAATTTTGTAGTGAGACTGAAACTTACTGATTTTTACTGGTGTTTTCCAAATGTGCAGGTGAGAGATATATATGACTATGGGGATTATCTTATTTTGGTTACAACTGATCGACAGAGTGCCTTTGACAGAGTTCTTGCTTCCATACCTTTTAAGGGCCAGGTAGGGAGATCATTTACGGGTACTGGGAATTATTTAGTGAATATGGAGCAGGGGATTCGTAGTGTATGGTTGGGATGAATGGCAACTAGTTTTTTTATTTTGTGGGCCTTAATTTATTTGGTTCTGTAATGTTCAGGTTCTTAACGAGACCAGCTTATGGTGGTTTGACAGAACGCAGCACATCACTTCAAATGCAGTAGTGTCAGTCCCGGATAAAAATGTCACAATCGCAAAGAAGTGTTCTGTTTTTCCTGTTGAGTTTGTTGGTGAGTCATTATGGAATTCTGAGTATCCTTTCCATTCGGATGAGTTGAGCATTAGTAATTGTAGAACTTCTGCAATGTGAAAAAATAAGGAAGAAGAAAGAATGAACAGAAAACCAAAAGGGAATGATATCTTGTTGCTTGTTGGTCCAGCGACAGCTGACTATGGACGAAAACAGGGAGACAACTAGCATTGTTACAACTTTTGCTAGAAGAAAATTGTTAATTTTTAGCAGAAGAAAAGATATTCTGTGCTAAAGATGTTGAATATTTCTTTAGAGGACTTTTTCCTGGGCATATACTTGTTGATATATTAAGTGAGCTTTAGGGGGAGGTTATTATAGGATACAAGAGTGGCATATCTATCCCTCATGTTCATTGTATATCTTTGTAAAATAGACGTTTCCCCATGATTCCATGATGTACTATGGTTCTGAGTCTTGACTTTCCAATTGGAAAAGTAGGCACTTCCCTCTGTTTTATTAACATTGTTGCCGATATATCCGTAAATATCAATCGTTCTTTTGGTTTGTAGTTAGAGGATTCGTCACTGGAAGTACTGATACATCATTATGGACGGTGTACAAGAAGGGGGTGCGAAGCTACTGTGGAAATGTTCTTCCAGATGGTACGTTTTCTTTATCCTCTTGTCTCTCCGCTTTAGACTTTTTGCTGATTGACCCATCTAATAGCCTCTCAACTATATCAGGCTTGGTTAAAAATCAGAAGCTATCTTCAAATATACTTACTCCAACAACCAAGGCCGCTACTCATGACGTTCCTGTGACACCTGATGAGGTATGTCCTTATTTGTGACGTCTATTTTCTCATTGCTTATGCTATGCCCTTTTTTCCGGTTATCAGCTTATTTTTGGATATTTAACATATCATTCTAGTCAAATTACTAAGAAAACTTTTATGTGTTATCAATCTTGTTTAGTTTACTAATACAAAAGCATTGCAGATCATTGAACGCGGGCTGATGACTCAAGCTGATTATGATGAAGCAAGTAGAAAGGCATTAAGCTTGTTCGAGTACGGGCAGGTAATTTTATTTTGTTACAGTTGCATCTTTCTTCTAGAATCATAACACTCTCCAATATTGGTGTTTCAGCAAGTGGCTCTGGAGCATGGCATGATATTGGTTGACACAAAATATGAGTTTGGAAAGGGAGAGGATGGATCTATTCTTTTAATTGACGAGGTTCAATAACCCTTCTTTTTTATTTACACTTCAGTTCTCTAGTTAACTAATACATCTTCAGCAAGTAACTTAAGCTATTGTTACAAGGGATTTATTTTTTCATACTTGCAATTGAAGGTGCATACTCCTGATTCGAGCAGATATTGGATTGCCCAGTCGTACGAGGAACGCTTTCAAAATGGCCTTGAACCTGAAAATGTCGACAAGGTATGTTTGTTTTCTGGCAAAATTAAGTTGCTACGAAATCCATCTGCATTATAGTTTACCAACTTTATATTATCTGTATAGGAATTCTTGAGGTTGTGGTTCAAAGACAATTGCAATCCATATGAAGATGAGGTAAAGCCTTAACATTTTCTCTGTGTATACTGTTTTATTGAATGATTAATAGTATGCTATTTTTTTAGTGCCATTGGATATTGAAATATTCATTCATAATTTGGTGCATAATGTTCAGGTTCTCCCAGATGCTCCTGAAGAGCTTGTCAGGGAACTGTCATGGCGGTATGTATTTTATTTTACCATACTACTCCGACGATCCGTTCTTTTATATGAATAAAACAACAAAGAAAACAAGCATCGTGAATGTGCCCATTATTCATAACTATTGATTCAATATTCTTGTTCATGGTGACAGATACATTTTCTTATTCGAAACAATAACCAAATCCAAATTTGAGGTGCCATTGACAGAGGTAGCTAGATTTCATAATAAATTGACTTATTAGTATTGATTATATCTTAACAAAAGTATTATCGGCTTTACGTAGGAACCTGTACATGATCGGATATCTCGAAACGTGGAAACGGCATTGGCATCCTTAAAGTGAGCATAGAGATTGTTGGTAGCTGAAGCTGAGTTATACAACATTGCATTTACTCAATAAACTTGATGAAATTTGGTGGTCCTGTGTGGTGGTGCTGTTGTGTTTCGTATGACATAGATGTAACTTGCAGGGACAAAATAAAGAACTTGTGAAAGTAAGTTGATCCTGATTGTGGCAATGCTACCGGCAAAAATCGTTTCTTATGTTGGAGTTTGTAGACCATGAATGTAAAATTTTCAATTTGCGGAATTTCATATGCAGTCTTTATAGTTGAGACACAAACTTAAAAAATAAGAAAAGCATGATGAGTTTGTTTCTTGCAAGGAACAATTTTTATTTATTTTTATTTTTTTAAGAATCAATTAAATTTTAATCCAGTATGACTGAAAAGAAAAAATGATTTGCAGAGGTTGATTTCTATTTGTTTCATGAAATTTCGAAAGCAATACTTCGGAGAAAAAAGTAGAAAAGATAGGAAAAGAGAGAAAAATTGTTGGCAAGGAGTGGTGGTTGATGTTACAATTAGTCAACCTATCAACTTAACTCAGGGACTATACTAATCATGGTATGAAAATCTGTTCGAGAGGAAAGTAAAGGCTATATTCGTAACAATAAGTGAAAATGAAAAACTACTCCAAATAACGAAATATTCTGAAAATGCTTGAAATTGGACCAGGATGCTTCTTTCGTTGCTGGAAAATACACAGTAACTTTATTCTCAGCTGGCAAAAACCACGATATGCACCACTTCCAATTCTAGTCATTTATGCTGCTGTCAACGGATTCTATTCCATTAGCAACCAAACCTAACCCAATTTACTTAAACACGACTCGATGATTTGCAAACAGTACAAAGGACACTTAGAAGCCCTGAATGAATAAGGAAAGGGACAGACAATAATAGCATACCACCTATGAATCCATCTTATTCCCATTGCGACAAATCTATGCTTCACAGTGATTGCACCATTACAAGCAGATTAACGGCATATATAGATAGATGTTCTATCGAACCATATGCAATGGATCATATCAACAGTGTCTTCGGCTCCCATTTAGCAGAGTTATTGTATATCAGAAAATGTTCATGATCCTTCAGTGTCAGTTCCTTCACTTGCTGAAAATGAAATCCAACTTCACATGACGTCAGGACAGAACACATCAACTGCAACTGCATCAGCTTCCTCTACACAAATTGTCTTACCAAATCCCCTGTTTGTAACTCATATGAGACTGTGGCCATGGCAAAGGAAATGCCCTTCATATTAATTCAGTCACTCCTTCAATGTATAAGCTCAAAACCAACAAGCCTTCCAAGAACAAAAGGAAGTGACGACTTTAACCAGGGTGGTGTTTCAACAAATCATAATCTTTCTTGAGAGAATCAATAGCTCTATCCATGTTTTGCCTCTTCATCCATCCCTCCATGAGAATCTCCCATGTCTTATAATTTGGACTCCCACCTCTCTCCAATGTGCGCAGATGCAACAACTCGGCTTTTTCTAACAATCCATTCCTCACATATGCACCCAGAAGAACATTGGAAACTCTAATGTCGTAATTACGACAACTGAGTTCCCATTCCTTAAATTTTTTCTCAGCCTCTTCAATCTCTCCTAGCTTCACCAAACATAGAAGCAGACACATATAATTAGCACAAGTGGGTCTGCCAATTACAGCTTTGCTAGCTCTCCAAAGTCGAAGAACTCCCTCTTTATTGTTCAGAGAAGCATATAATGTGATCAAGAAGAAATATCCAAGCCTGTTACATGGGGATAGCTTCTTCTCTGCATCTTTTAAAGCTGAAAACGCTTTCTCAACAACGCCTGCCTCTATGTAAACTTTAGCCAGAGTAGATAGAGTGCTCCATCCCACTTGAACGTTTTCGTCTTTCAGCATTTCTTTGTGCACCCACTCCACTGACCCAACCCCATACATTTCACTGCAAGCATTCATCCAAAGGTTGTAAGAGAGAACATTTCTCATTATTTGATTTTGCTTCATGTCCCTTATGACAAGAGGAACTTTCTCATTTTGAGATGTCGCCACATACAGTTTCATCATCTCATTGTAAAGATGCGGCTCCACAACCAGTCCCAAGTCCTTAAGCTTCATCATGAAAGCCTCAGCTTTCTCGGTGTTCCTGTCTTTGACATAACCATGAAGAAGAGGGAGAGATGAAGCTTTCTGAGAGGCTATGTTGGGCAATTTACTGAAGTACTCTTCAGCTTCCAGTAAACCGTGCAGTTTGATAGTCAATTCCAATCTGAGAGCATGATCAGCCGGTGACATACGCAATTTATTTCGAGTTTCCATCAACATTAGTACCTGGATATAAGAATATATTGAATTCTACCTGTTATCACGATCTATGAATCATATATAGTGAGATGAAATATTCTGTGATCTTGATGTATTCTTCCATTGAAATGAAAACGAGGTAAGAAATTTCAATTTCCAAACTGCTAGTTGCCAACCTCTAGCGCTGACGCAAAGCGCTTCGATTTGCAAAGCTTTTTGGTGACCTTCCGGAGCTTAGTGATTGAAATCCTTTGAGTCTCACGGTTGCCACTCTGAAGCACGGTGGTTACACTACTCCGAGGTAATTTGATTTTCTTAGATTCCCGCTTGAAGTTGTCATCGTCGCCTCCGTATTTTAGGGTTTTGGGAGATACCGCAGAAATGGTGCAGAAAGAGTTGACTGGCGATGGCGAAATAAGTGATGATATAGGCCTCCATGCTTCGAGAAGGAAGTGAACTCTGCATTTATAGAATAATAAACAACTCTCTGGTTCAGACCAGAAGCGGACTATGAAACGATAAAATTTAGAGCTGTAAAAGGCTTACCGTCCGGCGCCGGAGCGTAGATACGTCCTCATCATCGACTCCGTTCGAGCGGCGATCTCCGGAGCACCAAGCTACCGCCGCATCGATTGGTTTGCTTGTGCTTTGGCGCGAAGGTATAACGTATATCTTGATCGTCCCTTTTGTGGGTCCCAGAAAACCGACGGTACAGAAATTGCCCTAAGCCAGCGGCGTAAGACCTTACTTATAATCAGCACCGTTCAATATTTGCTGACGACTAAATCCCCCAAAAAGCGATGCATAACTCGATTAACCCCTAGACTGTGGGAGTACTGATCATCGTGCGTCGCCGGCGACCGGCGAATTAGTTCCATTTCTGCTGCTTGAGTCAACCGATCATTTTCTCTCACGTTAGCCTCGAATTCTTTACCTGGTGGCTGGTTGATGAAGTTCTGATATCTTGTTACATTTAAGTTCTGGTGATCAGTTATTGCATTTCGAGCGTTTACGGCGATTTTGCTTCGTTATGAGACGCCTCGGCTGGCTAGGGCTGGTGAGTTTATACGTATCGTTATTTGCGATCAATTATCTTTACCGGTGCTTTTTATCAACGTTGTCTAATGCCTATTGAGTTTAGTGCCGGCGGCAATTGCTTTCATCTCTAGCCGTAGGGTCGTCCATTGATCAACGAGTCTCGCTCGGAAAAGTTTCATCGTTGCGCCAGACTTTTTCTTGTGCCCGAGGTAATTTTGTAGGTCTCCCTGAATATTTATCTCTAACTTCAGCTGAATGATTGATGAGTTCGCTATTTCTGAGTTACTAACAGTCTTCTAAGCACCGCACTTTCTTTCTTTCTTTCTTTCTTTCTTCTTCTTCTTCTTCTTCTTCATGTAAACCAGCGTTTCAGGCAAGTTCTTCTGCCGTCGGGAAAGCTCCTGATTTTGCCACAACATTACCGGCGAATAGACGTTTCATACACGCCACTGGTGTTTCCCTCTCTTCCTTCAGCTGGAGCCGTGATGGCTGTAGAATTCAATAAATGAACCGAATATGTACTGATTCATTCTTTAAAACTTACTCATCCGATTTTATCATTTTATGAATGTCTCTAGGTTCATGTCAATCTATTGAACGAGATTACTACGAAATTCTTGGTGTTCAAGACAATGCCAGTCGAGATGAAATTAAAAAGGCGTATCATGCGGTGAGTGGGTTCATGAAATTGGACGTGAGGGGGATGTGATTAATATTTCTTGCAAATATTTTAATTTTTCTCTCTTTTTTCACATTCATAAGCACTAGGCACTACGCACATGTATGGCAATTCAGTGGTATGCTCATTTGAGATGAGTACATCTTTACACCATGCAAATCTATCGCCTCTTTCTTTATTCCATCGAGACCCACTCTACATGTCTTCTTGCAGCCGTTATTATATCTTTTCTCTTTTCATGTATAGCTTCTTTAGTTGGTTTATAGTTCTTGGTTCGGCCATTATGCTTGGGAACGGCTTGCTTAAGTCATATGAAAATGAAACATTATCTGTTTAGAAAGACTTCTTTTTAAATGGTTTAGGAATATTATACTCAAGGCATGTGAAAAAGGAAGATTTCTTATTAAAAATGCTATAAGATTGATGGAAATTGTTCTTGTTACTGACCAAGTGTAGTGACCACATTTGTTGTCATCTCTTATATGCCCTTTCAACAGATACTTCATTGTTCTTATTAACTTGCTAAGAATTGTTGTCGTTTCTGCAGTTGGCCAAAAGGTACCATCCCGATGCAAATAAGAACAATCCTTCTGCAAAGAGAAAATTTCAGGAGATTAGAGAAGCCTACGAGGTTTGTAGGTGTTATTGGTTTTGACTTTTGAGTCTAGTAAATCTCTTCTTTATTGGTTGTTTTATTCATTAGTCAACATATCTTTAATCTATAGTGTTTTACTATAACTAACAAAATTGCCTTTTCCTTTAGGCGCCTGTGTTTAGTACCTACAGTAATTTCATTTATTCTCTTTTTGGAATTTTCAGATTCTGCAGGATTCTGAGAAGAGGGCACAGTATGACCAGGTTAACCGTTAAATAAGTGACGAAAATACTCTATAGCTTCTGCTGCTTGTGCTATTTTTCTTCTTTTCTGTTTCCTTTGCATTTTACTGACTTGTTTGTACTATGCATCTATGTGGCTGAAGGGGCGTGGTGGAGAACCTGAAAACGTAGATTTTGGTACTGGTGACGCAGAGGGGTTTAGCTATGCTTATCGAACCCATTTTTCTGATTCATTTCAAAAGATTTTCTCTGAGGTACTTTGCTTACAACCTCTTATTCTTACTCATCAATTCAATTGGATAATCTGATCTGAAGTAATTTGTTGCCTCACAGATCTTTGAACATGAAACCAACCGTTTTGCCTCAGATATTCAGGTTCTTCGTTTATCTCCGATTTTTATTTTACTTAATTCTCAAAAATTTAAAACACAAACTATGTTATCTGTTTGATGTTTTGTAGGTGGACCTACCATTATCTTTTACCGAAGCTGCAAAAGGATGCACAAAGCATTTATCCTTTGATGCTTTTGTTCCCTGTGATTCTTGCTGTGAGTAAGGCTGGTTGTCTGCAAAACTCAAGTTGTGTTGAAATCTGAATACTGGCTAATGCAAAAGTGTGGACTATTTATAGCCACACACACACGCCAAAAAAAAAAAAAGAAAAGAATAAAGAATAGAAAAAGAAGACTTTTATTGCATCTTAATGATACCGAGAATTTTTTGCAGTCTCTTAGTTGGACGTTAGTTAGATGCTATTCAGCAAACTCTGTGATATTTCAGATTGAACTTAGAAGTTGGAGTAATTAAATTTGTCTATATTTAGAACCAGAATGTACGTTATATTTTTTTCATATCCAAATGTAAACTCGTGCAAAGCAAGAACTTCCTTTTATCTTCTTGTACATATAATCAGTTTTAATTTTGAATTGATTAATAAAGAACTATCAGATCTCAGGTGGAGCGAAAATCAGTTTGATGTGTTAGTCACAACTGTCCTGAGTAATCTGTTCTGATATTAATTAAATTGTGATGGTTACTGAACGCTTGAATTGTTATTTTGTCTCTTTGCCTCGTGCTTACCCTCAGTTTACTCATTCCCAAAATATAGAAGAGTTTTAGCATTGTTGTTTCCTCTGGTAAGTTTATATCCTTTTGCCTTTGTTTTAGATGGGCGGGGCTATCCAGTAAATGCAACAAAAATAAGTTGCCCTACTTGCAGAGGTTTAGGTAGAGTAAGTATCTTCAAATTGTAGGTTACCTGCAGTTCTGGAAGCATGCAGTGTCAATTGTCTTTCTATCTTTTCAGATTTGAGTTGTTTAATCATCAGGTTACGATTCCTCCATTTACATCGACATGCACCACTTGCAAAGGATCGCGTCAAATCATTAAGGTTTGATGTATACTTCAAAATTATTATTATTATTATTATTTTCCCTTTCTAATCTTGTTTCATTGATTTATTTCTTCGTGTTTTTTTTTTTTGGTATGCTTCAGGAATTATGTGTACAATGCAGGGGATTGGGGGTTGTGGAGGGTGTTAAGGAGGTCACGGTTACCATACCTGCTGGTTGGTCATAACCACTTGACTTTGTAAATCATGTTGGATATCAGAACTTGTTTCAAATTAAACACGATCAATATATTATGTCGTATAAGGCTTTTCTTGAGCAACTACAACACTTCAGATAAGCGAACTTAAAAAATTGGAATTAATTAGATTGGATTAGAATTTATTTCACTGGTCAGTTGAGAGTGCACATTCATTTAATGAAAAAGAAGAAATCTGAAAAACTAATTTCATAAGTGTTATTTATCTCAAAAGGTTAAGTTGTTAGATCATATTTAAGTTCTTATTGGAAATATCTTCTAAATTTTTAAATTTTGTGTTTTTTCTTTACTTGAACCAGGCTTGTGTAGGTATTTTGTTTGAACTTGAGGGAAAATGAGATATTGCAATGACTTAAACTTGAATCTGATATCCAAAAGCTTAAAGCTGGCAACTTAAACTTGTGTAGGTTATATTTGAATTGTTCACAAGATTTTACTCGGTGTTCTTCAATTGTATTATGTTAGGCCCCCAATTAGGAGTACAATTGGGATACCTATGTACGCAGGGGCAAAGGGGGAATTTCCCCTCCTCTGACAATTAGATCGTTGGTCTTAGGAAGGCCCTTGTCCTTTTGTCTTTTGTGAAGGGCCCTAGTTTCCGGGAAGGGGATATATGTGTTTTGTGCTGCTTAGGAAGGGGCATGCTTTATTTTGTATTAGAAGGTACTAGACTGTTGTGGAGAGTGCAACCCTCTCGAATGGTTGTCTGTTCTTGATTACTTTTATCAGATATTATATTGTGAGGAAGTTCCCTCACATAATATTACACGAACAATTTTTAACACAAAAGAATGGATGAAACTCCGTAATGGTTTTTCCTGAAGATAGTTTATCTAACAACCTTTTTTATAATTGTTCAAATGTATTAGGGGTTGATGCTGGAGATACCATTCGTGTGCCAGAAGCTGGTAATAGTGGTGGACGAGAAAGTCAACCTGGCAACTTAATCATTAAATTGAAGGCAAAAAACCACCTATATTTTTCTTTAGCTTATTTTAGCAGTCACACACACAATGTTTGTTCTTGTCAATGCTACTGCATGACTTGCTAACTCATGCTCACTGTGATGACCTGTTTCTCCTGAGTCCTGCCTGTCTCAAGAGAACTAAGCCCTCCTCGATGGATGAAAGAATGTTATGGTCGATTAACTTGTATTTGATATCTTTGTTCCTTTGGATGAATATATGTATATGAATTGGGATGCCGTTTTTCGAATGTCCTTTATAAAATTCAAACATCTACGTTATTTCTTTTCTATTTAATTAAAATTAACCTTGTGGCTATATTTCCACTTCTAAATTGTATTGATTTCTTAATGACAGACTTCTAGTTTACATTATTTTTCACTAGTACTGTTCTCATTCTTTTCATGATCAACTTTATTTTATGCTATGTACAAAAGATCTCTATTTATCACTGAGTTTAATAATTTAATAAAGTGTAATATGCTATTATGTATTCTTTTGGTAATAGCTTTTCACTTTTAGTGGAATTGTTTTAGCCATGGATGTTAAATCGATAGATTAATATTGGGATGGCTATTTTTCCAATTACATTAATATTTTTTTCCCTATGTGTTAGGTTGCTGAAGATTGTGTCTTTAAGAGGGATGGTGTGGATATTTATGTGGATTCTAATATCAGCTTTACTCAAGTGAGAAATTAAATTATTGTTGGGATTTGGATGTCAATATTTCTTCATGAGTGGATATGATTTTCATTAGTTTTGGAAGTTTTTTCCGATCAACAGAATCATCATGGCTCACTTCTCATGCATTTTTCTGAATGTATAATTTTTTTCCCTCTCTATTCGAAGTACCTTATTCTATGTGCCCTTTATGCTGTTAGATATTTGGAATGATTTCCATACCCTGACTTTTAAGTTATTACACTTTCTTTATTAAGGGATCTCCAAGTAGGAGCAATATGTTTTAAGTATCTCTCTCATATAGTCTTCGGGCAACAGGCCATACTTCTTTTGCGTCATGCAATTTTCAAATCATTAAAATAAATGAAAGTTATTTTGTGAGATTCTTCGGATTCACTTGCGAGGCATTGTTTCTTCTTTAGAGTTTTTTAAATATAGTGGTTAGTAGTATGACACTTCAGATGGTATCTTTTTACATTTTGTTTATTTTTCATACAATATTTAATTATTTATTGTGTTCTTCATTGTATACCATTACGCATTACCTTTCTGCATATTTCTTTAAATTGTGATTTCGTCAAATTTGATTTCAAAGTGCTCTTTCAGGCTCTTCTTGGTGGCAAGGTCGAGGTTCCTACATTGTCAGGCAAGATACAAATAAATGTAATGCTTAAAATCATTGTTTGTATAAATTCTCTCTTATATGTTGTTTTCCTTTATTCTGAAATATCTTGAAACTACAAGGAATCACTACAAGGAATCTAGGTTAAGTGCCTAAAGGAAAAAGTAATATATTTATGATTTTTACTTTTTATTTAAAAAATTATAATTGCGTTGAAAAGAATTAAATTTACAAGAACAGTTAGGAGCATTACAAAACAATTGCAGTATAGAGTATGGAGAGTAATTGCAAAATATTTTAAGAAATAAAACTCCAAATGGAAGGAAAAAGAACTATAGACTCCCAAATCTTACTGGGATCTTTACTTGCAACCAGTTGTTATAATTTTGGGTCAGACAGACTCTGTTGTAGTTCAAAATTCATCTAAAACCTCTTCTTGTATTCCCTGGTTATAATTTTGGGTCAGACAGACTCTGTTGTAGTTCAAAATTCATCTAAAACCTCTTCTTGTATTCCCTGGCTCTCCATAGCAATGTTGAAAATTTGTTCTCTTCAAATTCTAAATTTCTGGATAGAAGATGGGTCTAGAGTCGGTTTTTGGTTGGGCTCTGTGGATTATGCATGCACCCTTGGCCCAAAGTTCTCCTTGCCTCTTTATACTCTGAAAACTTCTCTTTACGGCAATATTTAGAGTACTTCGGACGTGGGATTTGGCTTTCAACAGGGGTTTCAATGATCTGGAGGTTGAAGAATGGCTCTCTTTAAAAGTTCAATGGCTACGTTGGAAGGACTTAGTCTAACGGACTTACTTACTCATTCCTCCAGTTCTTGCCAATCATTTTAGACTAATCCTGAAAAGTGAAGTCAGCGCAGTGCTTGCCTAGTGAATTAGTTAAAAGATAAAAGCTAAAGTGCTTTGGAAGTGTAGAGTTGGATCTTTCTCATGGAATCTTTGGCTAAAGAAATCAAATAGAATCTTTTTGTGAACTTGCCGACTCAAGTTAAAGTGCTTTGGAAGTGTATAGTTATATCTTTCTCATGGAATCTTTGTCTAGAAAGAACCAAATAGAATCTTTTTGTGAAGTTGTCTGGTATACCGTATACGAACTCAAGTTGGAGTGCCCTGAACAAATATTTCATTCGTAATCAGAGTACATAAATATATTTTTTGTAAGTCTTTTCCCAGCGGTTTCTTCCTTCCCTAGCCGTTAGGTTTTATCTTCTTTCTTTCACTCTTAATATACTTCTATTGTCGAAAAAAAAATACGGAAAAAAAGGTCTAAGACATACAGGGCTAGTTGTTTAGGAAACTTAAGAGATGTATTAATCACATGTAAAAGAACAACCTAAGAGCAAGGGGGTCCTTCCTAAAGAAACTAAAACAAGAAGGCCTCTTCCAGTTTTGAAGGATCGAAGAGACAAAGAGAAGTAGTAGTTACAAAAGAATTTGCTATACGGTAGCACTACCTTTAGTAGGTTTCTCGGGGAGGCATTAGTACTAATGGCAAATTTGAAGGAAGAAATCATATTAATTCTCTCCAACTTAACTGGTGCTCCCCGTAGAACTTCTCAGGAAGGTGCAAGGCGCATGTTCTTTATTTTCTCCTTCTCAATTGTCAGCAGAAACTCCTTTACAGCTTCAGTGTTTAGAATTCAGATGGTTTTCCCTAGGACAGTGATACCTGAGGTTCTAAAAAAAAGGCTAGGATCTGTTTATCAAAAAAATAAAGAACAGTTGTGGAAAAATAAGAAAAAGAATGAAACTTTAACTGCTGGAACTTTTTCCAGTCCTCTACACCCATCCTCGGCACCCTACCAGGACGGTAAAAATTGTTTTCTGTGTGTCAAGTTACCAAGAGAGTGAGTGGGTAAATACTCTTAGTAGGAATATTTTCCTATTTAAATCTCTATTTACTTGTATAGGACATAATGTGAATTAAAATATTCCCTAAATTCTAAATGCAGTAATTTGAAGACCAATCTGTTTGAAGTTCCTAATTGTTCATTTAATTGACACGAGAAGAAATAGTGAGCATGTCTTAATGCAATTTAAAGTTTAAACTCACTTGATGATGCTTTTATATCTTAAATCAGATACCAAACGGGGTTCAGCCAGGACAATCTGTAATACTCAGAGGGAAAGGTACGCCTTTTTACCCCATCCTTTCATATATATATTTTTTATTAAAGAACCAAAAAGGACAAAGCCAGAATATCTAACTCTGGAATTGATCCAGGATTGCCAAAACATGGACTTTTTGTTGATCGTGGGGATCAATACGTGCAATTCCGTATTAAATTTCCAACGTAGGTTTTCTTTATACTCTTTATTGTATCAACTCCTTTGGTATTTGGATAATCTCTGTTTGGTCGTGTCCACATTTCTTACTTGGAGCTCCTTGTGCCAGAAGTCATGGTTCTTCACTCACTCATTGATAACTATAAATCTCAATTACTGTAGTTATGAATTATTGAGGTTTATAGACACTCATGCACAAGAGAATATTATCTCGAGTATTAGATTTTGTAATCTGAAAATAAATTGTGGTCTCTTGAAGTAAACTTGAATTTGATGAATGGAATTGCATACCATAATCTGGTTGGTTTAACACTTCACTAAGGTCTGGATACCCGTACCCTTCCTACAGTAGCTAGGCTAGTAGCAACTTAAGGAATGAAGTTCCATATTTACTAATTGGTATTAATATGTTGACCCCATTCTTCCAAGGGGACTGGTAATAATAAGTAATTGATCTGATATCAGTATATACTTGTTAGTACTTTTAGTTATCCATGTGGAACATTTTGGTTCAGCAGCATATCACTTCTGATTGTACTTGAATTATTTATGTGGAATTCGGACCTTTTATTTTGAATTGTTATCTTCTATCCTTTCACATCTCCTTTTACTTTTCCCCTCTTATACTGTGGCAAAGATAGGTTGAAGCTACATCTTTTGAGTTTTTACAGTTAGCATGACTAGAACAACTTCCTTTCTGCTAGTTTTATGACCTTTATGGCATTAGCTTTGAAGATCTCTCTTTGAGATTTGATGGTAGATTCAAGCCCTTGCCTTTTGATCCTTTTTCTCATCACTTGTTTGAAATGTTCGTGCATCTTATTTACGTATCTACTTGAGTTGTAGGAATTCTTAAGAGGCAGATTGTCTCTCCGTTCTCTTACATATTTTCTTCTTTATTCCATGTGTTTCTATAGTTTTTTTGGTCTCCCCTCTCCAGTTTTGAAACAGTATGCTGCAGGTTCTGTATCAACTGATTCACATTTTCTTTCATTGTTTTTTAGTGAAATAAATCAGCGACAGCGTGCCATTTTAGAAGAGTTTGCCGAAGAAGAGATAAAGAATGGGATTGACAACTCAAATGAAGGAAGTTGGTCAGTTGCTGAATCTTTTCACACTCTGTTACTCCCCCACCCCTCTCTTCTTCCAGCTGTTAAGCTAGATTTGTTGAGCATTTTATATTTTTGGTAAGAAACAAAATTTCATTAATCAAAACGAAACATATGAAAAGTGAGATTATTAATCTTGAAAGACTCACAACCAAGGAGTTCTACAAAACCTCTTGATAGGATCCAAAAAGGCCTATCTATGCAAATATCATTGATAATACGCAGAAAACAGTCCAAAAACAGAGGAAAACAAACACAAACCAGTCCCTAGCTCTTTTAGTTTGAGAGGCCTGGAGATCTCTTCCTAAAAGGAAAAACACAACCAAATCAAATAATCCGGTACCCCTGCAACCACATGTCAAATAGCCCTCCCTTGCTCCCCTTTGTTCCTTGATCCTTCACTCCCGACACTTCCTAACTTCCTCCTTGTGTATGTATGGTGAATTGGAGGCCTTGGGTGCCAATCTCTCTGATTGGCAACGATACAAATAATGTTGTTATTACAAAAAGAATTTGAAAGGAAGCCCCAAGAAGAGGTACTAAAAATGATTAGATCCCATTCCCCTTTCTGAAATCTTCTAAAATATTTAGTCTTATATTTCTACAACCAAGCCTTCTAAAACAAAGAACGAATCTCATTCCTTGTAGGATCTTAACTTGTTTCTTTAAGACAACCACCTAGAAGCACAATAAAGACAGCTCTAACATCATAAGGGAGAGCGAACTGTAAATTGAAGCGGGCAGACAATTTATGCCAATGCTTAAAAGTGATAAGGCAATAAAAAAAAAAAAATTAGTATAGCCGATTCTCCATTTTGGTTAACACAAAACCTACCAATTTGGAGTGAGAATGGTCTTTGGTTTTCTCCTTTGAACAACATATGTATCCACAAAGGATGCACCCACCACTGCTCACGCACACACACTTCAATTTGTAAGTTTGAATATAATATTTTTATTCAATTAGATTTAGAAGTAAGAAACAATTCGTTTCTTGTTCAGTTGATTCTTTGCCTGCTCCTGTTCTGATTTTAATGAAGATCCTGAAATGGAAAACAGGCTTTACCAGCAGCTCTCTACTGGTTGAACTTTCAGGTGGCAACCAATTCTTAACCGTGTTGGGGAACCTAAGTTTATCCTTGAATTTGCCCTATTGATATTAGTCCTATTGCTCCTGAATAAAACAATGGGCTGAACGAGGTCCTGCAGTTCCGGTGGGGCAGATATTTTGGCAAGTTACCATTGAAGTGGGATGTCCACCTGTTCATTCATCGAAGATATGTAGATACAAGGTATTCTATTTTCTCTGGTATTTCTTATTTCCAGCTTATGTGGTTGTTTTATTTAACAGTTTATTGAAAACTAGTCTTAACTACATTAACTGAAAATGTTGTTGGCAGTAAGCTGATTGTTCTCAATTTTACACACCAGGTGTAAATTTGAATGATCAATTATTGCTCTTGAAGTTGGTCGTTAACTTTCTTATGCATCTCTCTCCTTTGAAAAGCCCCTACAACTCCTCTATCCTTGTGCCATTTTTGTGTCTCGTGAACTTGATTTCCCATTGATAATCTTTGCAGGTCAATTTTTCAGTACCTGAGTTGCAGTTTCAAATTCATAAAGGTTACCCGTCTTACATTCACTCACCAAATTTATATAGATATTACAATGAGTACAAACAAGATCTCTGGAAGAGCAAGTTCTTTCTTTTCCCCTCCGTTCCTTCCACCTCAAGCTTTCCTGTAGGTTTGATCCAGATAACTACCCGAATCACTTTCAGCACGGTACACATTTTGATCGTCTCGTCGGCTCAGTCTTTTGCTATGAATTTTACAATAGCCCCACAAATAAAAATTCTTTGGTAGATTTTATTTTATACTGATGATTAGGTAATGACGAATGTTATATTCACAATGCATGGTCTCATATGTGGAAGGGTTTTACCTATTCAAAACAAAGATTTATGATTTATGAGTAACAAAGAACAGAGATTTATGGTTCCAGGGTAATGTTATTCAATAATGCTATCTATTTCTATATCATGGATATTCCTTTTTTTCTTTGGATAAGAGATAGAACTTTTCATTGATAAGTGAACCATTCAAATTGAGTACAAGCCATTCCACAATGAAGAATGCTTGAAGAACATAGTTTTAATTGGTATTAATGAAAAAAGAATCAAAGTTGCAAAAATTCTTGGAAGAGATTAGAGAATCATCATAAAATTATTCCTTGATGTTGATATTACCATTGGATGTTTCGTCATAAATGAGAGCAGTTTGTAAAAAAAGTGGGTTTCTGTTTAAGGGGATAAAGCTGATCAGTTTTATCAGTAGATTTTATGGTTAAACTTAGATGTCGAACTAGACGAGGGACTTAAGTGATCCGAGCTTTTCACCTTCACCGCTGGGGATCAATTAAGGGAATAATTGCAAACTTTAGTTATTGGGCCAAGAAAAAATGTCAATAAAAAGTGGACAACAACCCAACTAAACTTTTTTAGGCACATAACTACGTTAATGGAAACTCTAATATTTAGAGATTTGTCAAAATCTGTTTATGATGGGGTCTATATGAAAATTACCTAACTACTTATATTCATATATTTTTAATTAATAAATAAAACTCTAAACCTTAAACTAGAGACAAATCTTCAATTAATAAAGAAATAATTTTGAGAAATCCACAGAAGATTGCTAAAAAGTTTATCTTTCATCAGCCATCACTCATTTTGGGAGTCTTACATCACCCATTATGGATTC